CACCACTCGTGGCTAATTTTTATATTTTTCATAGGGTTTCACCAAGTTGGCCAGGCTGATCTCAAACTCCTGACCTCAAGTGATCTGCCTGCCTTGGCCTCCCAAAGTGCTGGGATTACAGGCGTGAGCCACTGCGCCTGGCCATGATAGTAAACATTTTAGATCTTCGTATAATTTTCATGTGTCACTAAATACTATTCCTCCTTTGACTTTTCCCCCAAGCATTAAAAAAAAAATGTACAAACCATTCTTAGCTTGTAGGTGGGCCATATGAAAACAGGCAGAGGTCCAAATTTGGCCCATGAACTGCTGTTTTCATACTTCTAAATTTAGAACATGAGTTTTTAGATGCTTAGTTTTGATTCAGCTGAGATGGGTGATGTGTATAATGATAAGTACTTGCTTTTCTAGGTGGATCTTAGCGGTAGAGGTGAATTATTCATATCCTCAGTTCATAGCACCCTGTCCTTGCTGGTCCCTACAAGACCTCCCTCTCTTGTGTGGTTGTTTATTTATTTATTCCCTTTAATCATCATTCTTTTTTTTTTTTTTGAGACAGAGTCTCTGTCACCCAGGCTGGAGGGCAATGGCATGATCTCAGCTTACTGCAACCTCTGCCCCCTGGGTTCAAGTGATTCTCCTGCCTCAGCCTCCCACGTAGCTGGGATTACAGGTGTGCACCACCATGCCTGGCTAATTTTTGTATTTTTAGTAGAGACGGGGAGTTTCACTATATTGGCCAGGCTAGTCTCAAACTTCTGACTTCAAGTGATCTGCCTGCCTCGGCCTCCCAAAGGGCTGGGATTACAGGCATGAGCCACTGCGCCTGGTCACCTTTTGTTTGAGACAGAGTTTCACTCTGTTGCCCAGGCTGGAGTGCGATGGTGCGATCTCTGCTTGCTGTAACCCCCACCTGCTGGGTTCAAGAGGTTCTCCAGCCTCAGCCTCTCGAGTAGCTGGGATTACTGGTGCACGCACACCACCACATCTGGCTAATTTTTGTATTTTTGGTGGAGGCAGGGCTTCATCATCTTGGCCAGGCTGATCTTGAACTCCTGACCTCAGGTGATCCACCTGCCTTGGCCTCCCAAAGTGCTGGGATTACAGGTGGAAGCCATTGTGCCTGGCTGTGTATCTTTAATTTATATAAGTGGCATTGTGTTACAGAGCTCATTCCCATTTTCCCACTCAGCCGTGTCTTTTAAAGATATCCAAGTTGCCAAGTGAACATTAACTAGTGTGTAGGGCTCCATAGGTGGGCCCACTGTCTTTTACTTCATTTTCAAAAAGAAGTTGTCTTGAGTGAAATTATGTGTTGAGCTTGAGCATAATTATGTGTTGAATGTGGGAATATGTCTCTCTTGCCCTTACAAAGAATAGGTAACTTGGCTGAATGTCAAAAAAAAAAAAAAAAAAAAAAAAAAAATTACAGCTTTTTTTCCTTCCAAACTGTAAATACATATTTAAAAATTATTTAATTTTTTTGTTTTACTTTGGCCAGGTGCGTTGGTTCACGTCTGTAATCCCAGCACTTTGGGAGGCCGAGGCGGGCAGATCATGAGGTCAGGAGTTCGAGACCATCCTGGCTAACATGGTGAAACCCCCGTCTGTACTAAAAATACAGAAACAAAATTAGCTGGGCATGGTGGCGGGTGCCTGTAGTCCCAGCTACTCCGGGGGCTGAGGCAGAGGAATGGCATGAACCCGGGAGGCAGAGCTTGCAGTGAGCCAAGATCACACCACTGCACTCCAGCCTGGACAAAAGAGCCAGACTCTGTCTCAAAAAAAAAAAAAAGGAAAAGAAAAAATTTTTTTTTTGTTTAATTTTTATTTATTTTTAAAATTTACTTTCTTAAAAAAATTAAGTTATAATTTACCCTTTCAGTGTTTACTTCTGTGAGTCTTAATGAACACTTGTAATTGCAGAATGGTTGCCACAATCAGGATGTAGAAGAGTAGGCTGGGCGTGGTGGCTCATGCCTGTAATCCCAGAACTTTGGGAGGCTGAGGCGGGTGGATCACCTGAGGCTGGGAATTCAAGACCAGCCTGGCCAACATGGTAAAACCCCGTCTGTACTAAAAATACAAAAAATTAGCCAGGCGTGGTGGTGCATGCCTGTAGTCCCAGCTACTTGGAAGGCTGAGGCAGGAGAATCGCTTGAACCCGGGAGGCGGAGGTTGCAGTAAGCCGAGATCGCGCCACTGCACTCCAGCCTGGGTAACAGAGCGAGACTGTCTCAAACAAAACAAAAAACAAACAAACAAACAAACAAAAACAAAGATGTAGAAGAGTATAGAAATTTTACCCCTGAAATTCCCTCATGCCTCTTGCTAGTCAGTCCCTCTCCTCAACCCCTGTGACAATCATGGATCACTTTTCTGTGCAATAGTTATGCCTGTTCTGGAATGACATATAGATGGAATCATACAGCATGTGACTTTTTGGGTATGACTTTTTTGCTCTTCCTTTGTGGATAATGGAATACTTTTTTTGCCTGAACCATTATAATATTTTAAATTATTTTTTGTCATTGTAATAACTTCTGTTTTAAAATATGCAGCATGAGGCCGGGTGTGATGGCACATGCCTGTAATCCCAGCACTTTGGGAGGCCGAGGTGGGAGGATCCCTTGAGCCCAGGAGTTTGAGACCAGCCTGGGCAACAAGGCAAAACCCTATCTCTACTAAAAATATGTAAAAATTAGCCAGGCATGGTGGTGTGCACCTGTGCTCCCAACTATTTGGGAGGCTGAGGTGGGAAGATGACCTGAGCCTGGGGAGGTTGAGGCTGCAGTGAGCCATGATCATGCCACTGCACCCCAGCCTGAGCAACAGAGTGAGATCCTGTTTCAAAAAGGAAAAAAAAAAAAAAAAAAAAAAGGCAGCATGTTCTATGTGAGGGCTCCTCTCATTAGTACTTATATGGAGCAGGTGAGCTCTTTGGTGCTGTGCACCACCGGCTGCTCATTACTCAACATGGTCTTACTGATGTCTACACCATCTCCTTTTCCAACCTGCAGGCTCCCTCGGGGATGGGAACCCACCCAGTCTTCATGTCCTTTTCTGTTTGGGGAGATTCCTGTTTAAATTTCTTTTCGGGGATTCTTGAATCCCCAAACTCTAACCAAACAATTACTACTCTTTTTTTTCCCCCTGGAAAGCAATGGGATTCATAAATCGTGACCATTGTCCATTGTTCTGAAATAGGTTCTCAGTAAGAACTGGGTGCCTTCTATTTTGGAAAAGAAATTATATTTACTGCAACAAAAGAACATGATTTATCTGTAAAATTCTCTGCCACACATGCTACCCATTTGTAGTTTTAATGTTTCTGTGAAATAATAAGCAAACTGGCCCTTGACCCTCCTTCATAGGCATTGTAGAGTTGTGATTGGCTATTACCCACTGCTCAACATCTGTGCCCAGGGGAGGTCATCCAAGGATGAGTCCTCCCCATCCTTCATCCTTGATGGAATGTCTCTGGTAGGCCCACCGAGCTTGGTGGTGAGATATGGGCAGAGCCCTATGGATCTACCCCTGTGTGCAAGCAAGCCAGAGCCCCTACCCCATATGTTCACTGTGCTGAGGGCAGTTTAGCTCTGACGGTGGCTGAAGACTCCAGCAAAGGATGAGGGGCCAGAACCAGCCTCTGATGGGCTCTGTCTCTAGGTGTTCTAAAAGGTTGATTTCTTTGCTTATTAAAGGGTTTTATTTTTTATTTTTTTTTTTGAGACGGAGTCTCGCTCTGTCGCCCAGGCTGGAGTGCAGTGGCCGGATCTCAGCTCACTGCGAGCTCTGCCTCCCGGGTTCACGCCATTCTCCTGTCTCAGCCTCCCGAGTAGCTGGGACTACAGTCACCCGCCCCACACCCGGCTAATTGTTTTTGTATTTTTAGTAGAGACGGGGTTTCACCGTGTTAGCCAGGATGGTCTCGATCCCCTGACCTCGTGATCTGCCCTCCTCGGCTTCCCAAAGTGTTGGGATTACAGGCGTGAGCCACCGTGCCTGGCTCATTAGAAGAGTTTAAAGGTTGGCCTGGACCAGAGAAGGTCGTTACCCCGATTCTGGTGAGAATCGGAACTCCCCCTCCCCCAGCACTTAGTGCAGGGTCTGATGCTGGGACGTGGATAATGTTGAATGGATGCGATCTTGAACCTCTCTGAAGTTTTCTCAAACTCTGCTCCATGCTCCCCTAACAGGGTGAGAGCATTTACCGCACCCTCCCTACCTTCCCCTTCTCACATATGCACACTCACACTCACACGCAGTCTCACACTCACGCATCTATCCTCACACACATACTCGTTTAATGTGCACGCACACACCTTAGCATCAGGCTGAGCAGCCGGGGGGCATTACTGCCGGAGACTGACACCAATTCTCCATTAGGCCCAGGCCAGGTGTTGGGGAGTGTCTGTGGGTTGCCCTTCAGATCCCTCAGCCTCTGGCATGGACCCCAGGTGGGCAGCCCTGGTCACATAACTGGTAGTGTTTCCCGAATGGTCAAACTGGGCTGGGAATCAGCCAGCTGGGCGTTCAGTCCTGGCCAAGTCACTCACGAGCCATGTGTCTTTGCACAAATTCTTTTGCATTTCTAGGCCTTGATTTTCCTCATCCATAAAATGGGGTTCATCATTGGATGGCTGTGTGGATTTATTGAGCCATCTTGTAAAACACGGAGTGGGGTGCTTGGCTTAGAGTGAGAGTTCAATAAATAATATTCCTAGAAATAATAAGGCAGAGACTCCAGCTCATGAAGAAACCTTTTAGGTTTGCACTTGGCAATTTGTATTGACAGAAGGGCAGGCCCATGGTGCCTGCAGGTCTGGGTCACAAGCTTGCGAAGTTGGACTGACATTGGACCTGGCAGAGCAGGGCTCAGGACATACGTTCTGCTGAGCTGATAGCTGGGGACTACTCAGCAGCACCTTCCTCACTGAGCCCTGCCCGGGTTCCGTGATCTCATGCTGCCTCTAATAGCCCTGTTCTCGGTTTTGCAGCCGGAGCCTAAGCCTGGAGACCTGATTGAGATTTTTCGCCCCTTCTACAGACACTGGGCCATCTATGTTGGCGATGGATATGTGGTTCACCTGGCCCCTCCAAGTAAGAACACACAGGACCTCCACGGTGATGGGCCCCAGGGACTGGGAAGAGAGGGGATGGGGAACTGTGGGTAACAGGTGACCCCAACATTCTTCTTGCTTCCCAACTGGCAGCTGTCTCTGAGTGTTACAAGAAGTTTGATGTGGGGCAGTTTGGTGTGCGTCACTGGTTTTCAAGGTCTGCTCCTTGGAACCTCAGGGGGTTCTTCAGAGCAGGGGTCCCCAACCTCCAGGTCCCGGACTGGTACTGGTTAGGAACTGGGCTGCAGAGCAGGAGGTGAGTGGCGGGCAAGCGAGCGAAACTCATCTGTATTTACAGCTGCTCCCCATCGCTTGCATTACCGCCTGAGCTCCGCCTCCTGTCAGATCAGCAGCGGCATTAGATTCCCATAGGATCATGAACCCTACTATGAACTGCACACGCAAGGGATCTAGGTTGCACACTCCTTGTATTTATCTGTTTTCATACTGCTATAAAGAACTACCTGAGACTGGGTAATTTATAAAGAAAGGAGGTTTAATTGACTCACAGTTCTGCATAGTTGGGGAGGCCTTGGGAAACTTACCATTATGGCAGAAGGTGAAGGGGAAGCAAGGCAGGTCTTACACGGTGTCGGGAGGCAGGGGAGTACCACACTTTTTTTTTTTTTTTAGGTAGAGTTTTGCTCTTGTTGCCCAGGCTGGAGTGCAATGGCACAATCTCGGCTCACTGCAAACTCCACCTCCCGGGTTCAAGTGATTCTCCTGTCTCAGCCTCCTGAGTAGCTGGGACTACAGGTGCCTGGCACCACACCGGACTAATCTTTTTGTATTTTTAGTAGAGATGGGGTTTCACTGTGTTAGGCAGGATGGTCTCGATCTCTCGACTTGTGATCTACCCACCTTGGCCTCCCAAAGTGCTGGATACCAGGCGTCAGCACCACGCCTGGCCGCAACACACTCAACTCTTAAGCATAAAGGTCCTGGGAAGAGTGCAGGTGTTTGGCAGAGAGACTGGTATGAATCCAGTTTCCATTCTTCAGCCTTGGTTCCTTTTTTGCAAACTGAGGATATGGAATACTAACTTGGAGAACTCTCGTGAGAATTCCGCACCTCTCTTAGCCTTTCTCTTAAGCCTTTAACTTAAACTGGGGTATAACATAAATATTGTAAAATGTACAAGCATAGTAAAGTATACAGTCAGTGAATTAAAAAAAAAAAATCCATCTGTGTAACAATGTCCCAGATCAACAACTAGAACATTCCCACTGTGCCACTTACCCTGAAAGGTTCTCTCGTGCTTCCACAATATCCCCTCTGCACCCCTCGCCCAGGCAACCATCATTCTAGCTTTTCCTGCCGTAGATGAGGTTTGCCTGTTCTAGAACTTCATGGAAGAGGTATCACATGGCCTACACTCTTTTGTGTCTGGCTTCTGTTAGCAAACATCATGCCCATGTGAGTCATCCATGCTGCTGTGAGTGGCAGGAGATCTTTTTCACTGCTGTGTATTTTCCGTTATATGAATATGCCACAATTTAGCATCCATTTTGCTGACATCAGACTCATTGCAGGTTTTGACTGCTATGAATAGAACTGTTATAGACCCTCTTTTTTTTTTTTTCTGAGGTGGAGTCTTGCTCTGTGGCCCAGGCTGGAGTGCAGTGGCATGATCTTGGCTCACTGCAACCTCTGCCTCCTGGGTTTAAGCGAGTCTCCTGCCTCAGCCTCTGGAGTAGGTGGGATTACAGACGTGCGCTACCATGCCCAGCTAAGTTTTGTATTTTTAGTAGAGATGGTATTTCACCATGTTGGCCAGGCTGATCTCAAACTCCTGACCTTAAGTGATCTGCCCACCTTGGCCTCCCGAAGTCCTGGGATTACACGTGTGAGCCACCATGCCTGGCCTTCTGGAATGTTTTATTTTTATCTTTTTTTTTTTGAGACAGAGTCTCGCTCTGTTGCCTAGGCTGGAGTGCAGTGGTGCAATCTGGACTCACTGCAACCTACACCTCCCGGGTTCAAGCGATTCTCTTGCCTCAGCCTCCTGAGTAGCTGGGATTACGGGCACACACCTTCCCCCAAGGCCCACAGCCACGCGTCTGACCCTTCCACATGTTGCTTATCCTATGTGGATGGAGCCAAGGGCAGATACCCTGCTGGGGGCCACCTCTGAGCCTCTGTGGCCCTTCCCAGAACCAATCCGTTTCCTCTTTGTGGATCTGCAGCTGAGGTTGCAGGAGCGGGTGCAGCCAGTGTCATGTCTGCCCTGACTGACAAGGCCATCGTGAAGAAGGAATTGCTGTATGATGTGGCCGGGAGTGACAAGTACCAGGTCAACAACAAACATGATGACAAGTACTCACCGCTGCCCTATAGCAAAATCATCCAGCGGGCGGAGGAGCTGGTGGGGCAGGAGGTGCTCTACAAGCTGACCAGCGAGAACTGCGAGCACTTTGTGAACGAGCTGCGCTATGGAGTCGCCCGCAGTGACCAGGTGCGTCCTCTGCCCATGTCGCCTTCCCCAGGAACAAGACCATTCCCTCAGCTGACAGAGGCTGGGCATGGCTATGGAAGCATGAACAAGACAAAGTAGCAGAGACAGAATTACTGCCCTTAAGGATGTCACAGTTGGAGTGGGGACAAGGGTGGGGAAAGAGGCAAGTTGGCAGATCAGTGTAGTCGGGGCTGGGGGTGGGTGGCCAAGGAAGGGAGTCACAGACATGATATTCATTCCTGTTGCCAAGCCCTCCCTAGCCACGTGTCCCTGAGATGGCCCTCCCAGCCCTAAAGGCAGGTTTTAGGACCCACTACCTTACAGATTGGGAAACTGAGCTTCAGTAACTTGTCTACAGCCATTCATTTCATCAAAAAAATCTTTGTTGAGTCTCCAGACCTGGTACCTGTCTTTTCCTGTGCAGATAATTCGCAGAGCTGGGATTTGAAGCCCAGGTCTGTGTGGCATAGCCCGATCATGCTTATAAACAGCACTGTCTTCAGCTTGGCTGAACCCTAAGGGTGAATCTGGGAGACCCTAGGGGATGCAGTTTTGTTCATTTACTTGATTTTATTTTTGTCATTCCTCTCCTTTCAATCTCGTTTTCTCCTCCCATTTTCTTGCACTTCTTCCCCCTCCCTTGCAGCCACTTCCATCTTTTTTTTTTTTTTTTTTTGCATAGTTGAAAAGAACATTGGGAAGGTTCTTACATGGCTGTTGATACAAAAGGACATGTATTTTTTTCAGTGAATGATTAGGTTAAGATCCATCAGGCTGTTCACTTTTATTATTATTATTTTTGAGATCCAATTTTTTCTTCTCTGGTCAGTGTGGTGGTTAAGAGCATGGGCTCCTGGAGTCAGGCCAACGTGGGCTGGACCTGGTCTCTGCCTTTTGCCGGCTGTCTGACCTCAGGAGAGTTAGTCCAGCTCCCTACACTTTGGTAAAGTACGAATGATAATACTCATCTTGGAGGATTACCATGTGAATTAAATAAGAGCATGTTTATTCTTAGCACAGTGCTGACTCAAAAAATTCACTGAATACATTGTACTAGTAAAAATAGTCATAATTATCCTCTTTTCTTTTTGCTTGGTTCATCCAGTGCCTGGTCCACTGGCCTCTGTGGTTCACAGCGACTTGAATGGGAAGACATTGACTAACACCAGCTGTAGGAATCACTCTTACTCTCTTCACACTGCTGATAACCAGCTGTGCTTACTACACCAACCCTCAAGTTTGTTAGGTGGCTCCTATACCTGTCTACAGTGAGATATTAGTTACCTTTAAACGGGTATCCTCTTACCTTTTTTTCAATCAGCTGGGTTATTAATGTTCAACAACTAGTTATATATGAATGTTAAAGGTGATCAACTTAGAAATTGAGTAGGTGGTACATAGCTAACTAGGTAAAGAAAGGGCAGTATTGCCAATGTTTGTGAAGACTGCAGTCTGTTGGTCATGGTCTGGCTTCAACTTCCCCGAGAGTTGATAAGAGCTTTCTTCTGGGGAATCAGTGGGCAGGGCCATGAGAAGTTCGTTAGTGCCCGAATATTGGCAGGTTTCAAAAGGTGATGCAATGAAAGCAGGAGACCAGGGGATAGTGGCACTTACCACATCGATCTCTTGGGGATAACAGTCTTCAAAACATTTGTCTCTTGTTTTTCTTTTCTTAAAACAATTTTATTTTAGGCTGGTCACAGTGGCTCACGCCTGTAATCCCAGCACTTTGGAAGACTGAAGCAGGCAGACCACTTGAGGTCAGGAGTTTGAGACCAGCCTGGCCAACATGGTGAAACCCCGTCTCCACTAAAAATACAAAGGCCGGGCGCGGTGGCTCACGCCTGTAATCCCAGCACTTTGGGAGGCCAAGGCAGGCGGATCATGAGGTCAGGAGATTGCGACCATCCTGGCTAACATGGTAAAACCCCGTCTCTACTAAAAATACAAAAACTTAGCCAGACATGGTGGTGGGTACCTGCGGTCCCAGCTACTCGGGAGGCTGAGGCAGGAGAATGGCGTGAACCCAGGAGGTGGAGCTTGTAGTGAGCCGAGATGGCACCACTGCACTCCTGTCTGGGCAATGGAGCGAGACTCCGTCTCAAAAAAAAAAAAAAAAAAAAAAAAATTGGCCAGGCGTGGTGGTGAGTATCTGTAATCCCAGCTACTCGGGAGACTGAGGCAAGATAATCACTTGAACCCGGGAGGCAGAGGTTGCAGTGAGCCAAGATCGCACTATTGCACTCCAGCCTAGGCAACAGAGCGAGACCCAGTCTCAAAAAAAACAGAGACGATGTAATCCCAACACTTTGGGAGGCCGAGACGGGCGGATCACGAGGTCAGGAGATCGAGACCATCCTGGCTAATACGGTGAAACCCCGTCTCTACTAAAAATACAAAAAACTACCCGGCATGTTAGCATGTGCCTGTAGTCACAGCTACTTGAGACACTGAGGCACAAGAATTGCTTGAACCCGGGAGGCAGAGGTTGCAGTGAGCCAAGATCGCACCATTGCACTCCAGCCTAGGCAACAGAGCGAGACCCAGTCTCAAAAAAAACAGAGACGATGTAATCCCAACACTTTGGGAGGCCGAGACGGGCGGATCACGAGGTCAGGAGATCGAGACCATCCTGGCTAACACGGTGAAACCCCGTCTCTACTAAAAATACAAAAAACTAGCCGGGCGAGGTGGCGGGCGCCTGTAGTCCCAGCTACTCGGGAGGCTGAGGCAGAAGAATCCTTTGAACCCAGGAGGTGGAGGTTGCAGCGATCTGAGATCACGCCACTGTACTCCAGCCTGGGTGACAGAGTGAGACTTGGTCTAAACAAAACAAAACAAAAAAACCAAGAAACAAAAAAACAAACAAACAAAACAAGATCTCGCATGCCTGAGAATATCTTCATTTTATCCTCACATTTGATTAAGGCTGGGTATAGAATTCTAGGTTAGAAACAGTATTTTTTTTTCAGAATTTTGAAGGCATTGGTTTATTGTCATCTAGTTTTTGCTACTGTGGTAGAGAAGTCTGAAGCTGTTCTGGTTTTTGATCCTTTGTGTGTGATCGATTATTTCTTTTCAGAACCGTATAGAATCTTCTCTTCATTCTCAGTGTTCTGAAATTTTATTACCTTGCACGGATCTATTTTCAGTATTGTGCCAGGTACTCAATGACTCCTGTCAATTTGGAAACTCAGTTTCTTTAGTTCTGGGAAATTTTCCATTTTGTGTTCTCTGGCACTCCTATTATTAGACTGTTGGACCCCCTAGACTGCTCCGCTGATTTTCTTATCTTCTCTCTCTTGTTTTCCATTTATGTATCTTTTTATTTATTTATTAAGACAGAGTCTCGTTTTGCCACCCAGGCTAGAGCACAGTGGTGCGATGTTGGCTCACTGCAGCCTCCACCTTCTGGGTTCACGTGGTTCTCCTGTCTCAGCCTCCAGAGCGGCCGGGACTACAGGCATGTGCCACCACACCTGGGTAATTTTTGTATTTTTATTAGAGATGGGGTTTCCCCATATTGGCCAGGCTGGTGGGGTTTCCCCATATTGGCCAGGCTGGTCTGGAATTCCTGACCTCAAGTGATCTGCCTGTTTCCGCCTCCCAAAGTGCTGAGATTACAGGTGTGAGCCACTGTGCCTGGCCACAAATGCTATTTAGAGTAATTAAATAAAATTCCAAATCCTGAGATAGTAAAATAAGAAATGTTTTATACCATTATTCTTTTTGTTAACAATAATTTAACCCTTGCAAAATGAAACAATACAAATTGAACATATCACACTTTTCTTCCTGTGACTTTGGCCCTACCCATCTACCCATTCACTTGAAAGAGGCAAAACAATGATAACCAACAATGAAATACCATGAACAATTCTACGTGATCCCATCACAGAAAATGAACCCAGAATATTCTACAACACAAACAGAGGTGCCATCTCTACTGCTTCTAAAGATTTCCTCTTTCATTTCTTGGTCTAGAATGGGGGTTTCTCAGCCTCAGCACTAGTGACATTATGGGCCAGATAATTCTTCATTGTCGTGTCCTGTCCTGTGCACTGTAGGATGTTTAGCAGCATCCCTGGCCTCTACACACTAGATACCAGCAGCATCCCATAGCCAGATGTAAGAACCAAAAATGTCTGTAGATGTTGCCAAATTCCCCCCACAGGGAAAAACTGTCTCCAGCTGAGAACTAGTGACTTAGGTGAGTAATGATCACTGACACATGCTGCGAGTCAAATTAACATAGAACTTCTGGCCGGGCACAGTGGCTCACGCCTGTAATCCCAAGACTTTGAGAGGCTGAGGCGGGTGGATTACGAGGTCAAGAGATCGAGACCATCCTGGCCAACATGGTGAAACCCCGTTTCTACTAAAAATACAAAAATGAGTTGGGCGTGGTGGTGTGCACCCGTAGTACCAGCTACTCAGGAGGCTGAGGCAGGAGAATCACTTGAACCCAGGAGGTGGAGGTTGCAGCGAGCCGAGATCATGCCATTGCATTCCAGGTGGGCAACAAGAGCAAAACTCCATCCCCCCAAAAACAAAACAAAACAAAAAAAAGAACTTTGATGCATGCCCCATCTTGCTAGAGATGATAGATTTAGTACAAACGGGAAACTGTCCACCAGTATTTTTCTTTGTAAGCATTGTCAGTGCAGTGACTTTCCTTTTCATTTAACTTGTGAGGATATATATATATATTTTTTGAGATGGAGTCTCGCTCTGTCGCCCAGGCTGGAGTGCAGTGGCGCAATCTCCGCTCACTGCAAGCTCTGCTGCCTCCCGGGTTCATGCCATTCTCCTGCCTCAGCCTCCCTAGAAGCTGGGACTACAGGTGCCTGCCACCACGCCCGGCTAATTTTTTTCTATTTTCAGTAGAGACGGGGTTTCACCGTGTTAGCCAGGATGGTCTCGATCTCCTGACCTCGTGATCCGCCCATCTCAGCCTTCCAAAGTGCTGGGATTACAGGCGTGAGCCACCGCGCCCGGCC